TGCTGTTGCTGCTGCCTGGTGTTGCTCTGCTGCTGCTGCTGCTGCTGCTGCGTTGTGTCAGTTTGCTGCTAGTCTTTGTTACTGGGGGTACGGACGCATAGAGTGCGGTAGCAGCAGCAGCAGCAGCAGCAGCAGCAGCAGCAGCAGCAGCAGCAGCAGCAGCAACCGCAGCAGCACATTGAGAAAAGTGAATAGCCTAGCAACACCAACAGTCTATAAAGCAGGCAGCAGCAACTGCTGCTGCAGCTAAAACGACAGCACTGAAATTCCCAGCAGCAGCAGCAGCAGCTGCTGCTGCAGGCTATAGTCTCATTTTAAACCCCGTGCAGCAGCAGCAGGTGCTGCTGCTGCAGCTTCTTCTGTCTGCTGCTTCTGCAGCAGCACCTATGCCAGCTGCTGTTGCAGCTGCTGCTGCTCCTGCGGCAGCATCTATGCCAGTTCCTGCTGCAGTGGTCGCTGCTTCCGCAGCACCCACGCCAGCTGTTGCTGCAGTTGCTGCTGCTGCTGCAGCAGCGTCGATGTCAGCTTCTGCTGCGGCAGCTGCTGCTGCTGCTGCTGCTGCTGCTGCTGCTGCAGCTAAGCCAGCAGCTGCAGCAAAGCCGACGTCTGGTTCCCATTGACTGCAGCATTTTGTCGAATTTTTGGCAGCAGCGGAGTCAGCAAAGAGCGCACGGCGCTGCGGAAGTCAGGAAGGTCATCTAGCTGCAGCAGCAGCAGCAGCAGCAGCAGCAGCAGCAGCAGCAGCGGAGGCTCAGTCGAAGCAGCAAATGCGAGGCAGCAGCAACTAGCAACGAGGACGCGCAACTTGGAAGCAGCAGCAACGATATGCAGCAGCAACAGCAGCAGCGCCTCACAACCAGCAGCAGCAAAAGCAACAGAAGCAGCAGCGGCAGCAGCAGCAGCAGCAGCAGCACCTGCAGCAGCAGCAGGCTTACGTAGTCGATAATCGGCGCTGTGTCTGCCATGGCAAGGCGGGAGAAGTTGACGTCAAACTCAGCCCGCTGCTCAGTGCCGTCTCCCTGCAGCAGCAGCAGCAGCAGCAGCAGCAGCAGCAAACATGCAGCAGCGGCAGCAGCAAGAGCGTGGTTGCTCCTAGGCTGTCCTGCTGCTGCAGCAAAAGCTGTCGGAGATTCACGGAGCAAAACTCCACCGCAGCGCAGAAGCGGCAAGTGCTGCACCTGCAGCAGCAGCAGCTGCTGCTGCTGTTGCTGCTGCTGCTGCTGCTGCTGTTGCTGCTGCGGCTAACCTCTTCATCTGCATCGAAGTAGGCCGCCCTGCGGTCCGTCCGTTCCTTCCCTGCAGCACAGCAGCAGCAGCAGCAGCAAAGGCAGCTGCTGACTTGTGCTGCAGCAGCACCCGCAGAAGACTAAACAGCTCTTTCAACCGAAGCAGCAGCAGCAGCAGCAGCAGCAGCAGCAGCAGCAGCAGCAGCAGCGAACCTGCTGCGTCGAAGTCGTGTCCCTTGATGAGCATTTCGAGAGTGTCGAAGATATCGTTAAGCAGCTCCTGGTCTGCTGCTGCTGGCGTTGCTGCTGCTGCTGCAGCAGCAGGAGCAGCAGCAGCGCCAGCAGCGTCCTGCGCTGCTGCTGCTGCAGGGCCAGCAGCAGCAGCAGCAGCAGCAGCAGCAGCAGCAAGCCTCGCCAAACCCATCAAAAAGACCCGCCGCTTGTATATTGAACAACCTGCACTCATGCTGCTGCTGATGGAAGGAATTATAACAGCAGCAACAAACTGCTGCAGCAGCCCCTGCTGCAGCTGCTCCAGCCCGTTCGGCAGCGCCGTCAAGTCGGGGCACCGACACTGCAGCAGCAGCAGCAGCAGCAGCAGCAGCAGCAGCAGCAGCATATGTATTGATTGAGTAGTCAAAAAGTTAACTAACTGATTAGTTGATTAATTAACTGGTCAATTAATAAATTAATTGAGTAAATTAGTTAATTAGTTAATTAGTACTAAGCAGCTACATTTATTTGCTGCTGCTGCTGCTGCTGCTGCTGCTGCTGCTGCTGCTCTGCATGCATGCGTTTGCTGCACCTGGAAAAGCAGCAGCGAATGAGTTAGTGCTGCATTGAATTGCTGCTGCTGCAGCTGATGGGCTTTCTTCAGCAGCACCGTCAGCAGCGTGGGCAGCAGCTGTCTGTACGCCTCGAAGTCCATGAACCTGCAGCAGCAGCAGCAGCAGCAGCAGCAGCAGCAGCAGCAAGAGATGTAGCCAGGCCTCGCAAAGAATGGCAGCTGCAGCAGAAGTTGCTGCTGCTGCTGCTGCTGCGTGGTGCTAGTCTGTCTATGTGCTGCAGCAGCTAAACCACCAACTTCGTCCTGCCGCTGCTGCTGCAGCAGCTGCTGCTGCTGCTACTTCTGCTGCTGCTGCTGCTACTTCTGCTGCTGCTGCTGCTCCTTCTGCTGCTGCTGCTGCACCTGAAGATGGCGTTAAGAAGGTCGAAGCCAGTGGCAGCGAGCCTCCTGTGGTAGAGGCAGTACTGGGTCCTCTCGAGCAGCGCAG